AAAAAAAAAAAAAAAAAAAAAAAAGGAACACTGAAAGACATTTCTTACAGGGATCCAGCAGCTTAGACCTTCAGGATATTCTCCAACACAGAAAAGTCCCTTCTAGTCAGGTGTGTGGTACACACCTATAATCCCAGCACTCAGGAGGCAGACGCAAGAGGATCACTGTGAGTTCAAAGCCAGCCTACGTAAAGAGACCCTGTCTCAAAAAAAAAAAAAGCCCCTTCCACCAGGACCATTTAAGGTCTGTGCTATGATAAAACACCGCTAGTCACTTTACCTTCTGTGCCCAGCCTACGGACAATTTCTCTCAACCATTAGCACTAACTTCACTGCTAAAAGGTCTGGGTCCTTTCACTGCTACAGCAAATGAAGAGAACAGACATACAGGCTGCTGTAGACATTTATTGGATCATCTGCTGCACAGACAGCACATCTACCTTACAGGAGACAGGCCACAAGCAAACGAGAAACCATACACATCTACTTAAGGGCCTTCTTTGGTCCTTAGTCATCCAGTGTACACTTTGGCAAACTAATCAGTTTACAGACACTGCACATCTGCAGTTCCAGTTCTCTGTGCAGATCAGGCAAGCAATTAGGTACAATTATACCTTAGTAATCTGTCTAAGGATAAGTTTTCCACATGTCAACATCTGACTACACAAGAGTGTACAAGGAGACTGAGGAACTTGCAGAGTGTACCACTGAGATGTACATCATCCAGGCGAGTGGGGAGAGATGGGGAAAGGGGCTGGACCTCAGCTGCCTGCTCTGAGGAGTGACATCGCCACAGGAAGGACCCACGGCAGAAGCCAATTATTAGAAATGTAAGCAATAGAGGCGGCAGACAGTTTCTCTAAGGCAGCATTGGGCCAGGGATGTAGCTCAGTGGTGGTGTGCCTGCCTGGTAAGTGCAAGCCCCCGAGTTTGATCCCAGGTACCCAAAAGAAAAAAGAAAGTCTCTAAGGTAGCATTTAAGTGAGGAAAGGGTAACTGTTAAAAAAAAAAAAAATAGGACTCCAGTTTGGAAATTGTATTAATTTCTTCACTTAAGTAAACCGTGTCTGTCTTAAACTGCCAGGCTCCAGAAAGCCCAGAAAACGAGAGAGCATTTGCCAAAATGAAGAAGCACAAGATCAATGCTCTAATCACATTATTTCTAACTGAAGCCAAATGGTGACTCAGCTAACGTCACACACGTGGGGTTGAAGCCATGTCCATACACCAGAGGGGATTAATCTCATTCTGCTTCAGTCTAACCCTGAAAAGATGGGCCCAGTGGGAGAAGGGGCCCACCCCTCAGGACACAAGCCACTGCTTGCACCGGGGAGGGTCCTGCAGCGGCCCCCTGTGGGACAACACAGCAGCTCTTTCCACCCCTCAAAGCAGTGCCTGAGCTGGCATGAGTGGGGCAGGGCTGGGCAGGAAGGGCTGCTCTCAGCTGCTGGGGCACAGGGCATGTGTGTCTGAAGCCACATGCTTCTATCCCCTCCACAAGGCCAACCTGGGACTCCGGGGTTAAAGTACAGGACGGCCCAAGACTGTTAGCTGAGATGCACCGCTGTGCTTCCCAGGGGCCAGTCCCTCCTCTCCTGGGGAGTCTTGAGCTGAACATCAGCATACTTCACACATAGTATCACTTGCTCAACTGCCAAGAACAGGGCCAACTGTTACTCAGGATAGATAAGATTGGTTTGAATTCAGTGTTCTGCAGAGCAGCAGTCTTTTCAGGCCCAATCCCTGAGACCCTGTAGTTTTCCTGACCTTACAACAGGCATCTGCTTTGAGGTGAAGCCATTCTCCAGCTTCTCCAGCCCCTACTCAAACCTTCTTCATTTGAAGGGGGAAACAATGGCACGGGCTTGCATGTGACTCAGTGGACACTTCTACAGCAGCAATAAGGAAGGGAAAGAGAGGGCGAGCCCTAGCCCCCAAAACCAGTTCAAACAGATACCTCTGCAGTCACACTCCCCACCCCGCCCTCTGGGCCCTCCTCTGGAGCCTCAGCAGGAGTGAGCAAAAGACATCTGTGGGAACCCCACAGAACCACCCCTGCCAGGCCTCCACACAGGTCAAGGACAGGCCATCACTGGGAGCCTGGGCTGTCCCCCTCTGTCAGCGTCTTGAAGTCCATGGAGAGGGCCTGCTCTTCAGCCTGGGGAGGCCTCTTCCATTCTGCTTGAGCCAGGATGTACAGGACAGCCACCCCGAAGCAGGCCAGCAGCAGGCCCAGCACATTGGCCAGGATCCCCTCAGGCTCAAACGTGCTGTACTTGGTCCTGCAGAGAAGGATGGAAAGGAGAATCCGTACAAGAGGTCACAGTGAGGCCAATGCCATTGGCATCCTGGGCCTTAAAGATGCCACAGTCTTGTTAACACCAGCCCCTCCGTTCCCTCCCACAAAAACTTACTGTGCAGTGAAGCAGAGGACAGGGTTCCATCTTTGCAGAGAACTACGGCCCACCCTCTCCTGCGAAGGACACTCACCCAAGTTTAAACAGCAGCGCCTCCTTCAGGCCCAGCAGGGCTGTGCCCACAGAAAGGAGAAAAACAGCAGCACCAAAGAAAATGTGCTGAGGGCGGTAGCGGCTCCGCAGAGAAAACGAAGCTCCAGGGAACAGGAAGAAGCTGAAGCCCACGAGCCACTAGAAAAGGACAGGCAATGCTGGACAGTGCTCCGACTGAACCCTCTGCATCCCTCACCTGGCTTCTAGGGGAAGGGGTAAGAGGTACTTATGGAGAGAGGGTCCCGGCTCCCAGCACTTGAGGCCTTGAGCCCACAGAAAAAGTCATCATACTGTGTACTGGGGAAGCTAGGCATGTGACCATGTGTCAAATCAACAGGAGGGGCACCAGGGATTGGGCACCTCTAAAATCCTAGGTTCATACCCATTGCAGTGTCTGGAGGCAGCATCCCAACAAAACTCTCTCACATTTTGGACCACCTTGGAAAACAGGCCCCTCTGTTGCGTGCACTTTAGCCCTTCTCTCCGTCCCCTTTTGTTAACAGTGGCCAGGGCATGAGGTGCTGGGAAGACTCACCTGCACAAAGTAGAGGACAAAGACAAGGATCCCGCACCAGCTGTGCAGGCTGTAGAGGTCAGCATAGCCCATCTTCCTGTGGTAATCGAACACAGCCACCAAGCCTGGACCACAGACAGAGGTCGTGTGAGGACGGGGTTGGATGTGCAAGAGGGAGGGAGTGGGATGACCTGAGGACACCGGCTAGCTGGAACAGCTGGGCTCTGGTCCAGCCTGATGGCGGCGGCCAGTACCCAGTGTCCCTGCCTGGGACATCTCTGGGGCAGCGAGGAATGTGGAGCGGGACCATCCAGTTCTGGGTAGGGAACAGTCCATGTGCAACAGCCGCTTCCCAAGCCTGAAGCAGCAGGTAGGGAAAGGGACGACTGTGCCCAGGAACTTACCAACCAGGGAGATGATGAATGCAAAGACATGCAGCAGCCCATGCAGGACCTTGGTTGTGTGTTTGGCCTCTTTCCTGAAGACACGGTAAACCAGCAGGGCTTATGGGAAGAGAGAGGAACAGGAAGTGCATCAGCTTGTGCTAGAGGAGCAGCACAGAGGCCCACACTGGGGAGAAAGGGGTCTGAGGCAAGGGCGGTCAAGGTTTGCCAGCACAGGAACTGGAAAGGACGACAAGGCTCCATGGGCACCTTGGGTAAGCATCTGGCCTTTGTAGAACAGACTCCCCACCTGTGCATACTCAGAGGCCAGGGGGAGAGACTGTGACAGTTCTGCCATCAAAACAGGCAGCACAGGCAGGACTCTGTCCTGAGTCCCACCCAAAACAGCAGGAGACACTCACCACACCTTCTCACCAGAGCCTGTGAATTCATTCAGTGTTTTGAATTCATTGGGCAGTCACACTGAGATCACATCCAAACTCTGAGTTTATCTTTTAGTGCTGTCTCTCCTCAAAGAATCCAATTCTGTAGCCTGACCAGACTGTCACCACTCTTGGCAAGTAGGCTCCAGGTGCCCAAAGTAGAACCTGTAACCCTAACCACAGGGCCAGATCCTATGGGGATGCCTTCTAGGATCTGCTGCTGAGAGGTGGCTGTCACCAGGGACCTCCAGAAAGAGTGGCTCAACCAGCTATAAGGTACAGGCCACGCACCACCTAGTCACACCCAGGTAAAAGTGCTCTAGCTTGGCCAAGTCCAAGTATTAGCACACACCTCTTCTCCCATTCCAGTTGCCCTTGAAGATGGCCTAGTTCACAGCTGAGTCCTTGGCTCTGTGATTGAGAAAATGCCCCCAACCCCTAACCTTAGGGCCCAGATTTGAATTCCATCTCCCAGGTTTTAAGCCAGCTTCCTCCTCTGTCCTTTCTAGAATCTTGGACTTGCCTAACTCCAAGAGACCTCAGAGGTGACAGCATCCCCACAAATTGCCTCTCCCAGGGACAGGCTCAGGCACAGGACAAAGTTCCCAGGAAGCCGGCCCGCTGAGACTCACCATCTCCCTGCAGGAAGATCAGGCCTATGACCATGCAGAGGGGATGCACGTTGAACTGCAGGGTGCTCTCCCAGGCAATGCCACCTCGGTACAGACCCAGCCAAGCACCAGTCATGGCCACCACGGTGAGGCCCAGCAGCTGGGAGAAGGCCACATAGTATGGCAGTGTGGAGGGGGCGGACCCCAGGCCAGTCCTGCTCTCCATGCTGAGGCTGCTGCTGCAGAAAAGACAAAGAGGTGTGTCTGCCTCCCCGAGAACTCCTGCCAAAGCGACACTCATCAGTCTCCCACCTCTAAGGCCCTTCCCTGCCCTTCCCTGCCACCATCCTGCGGCAGTGGTCCCTGAGTCCCCGGAACAGCTCTGGGGGAGCCTGGGCTTTCCTGTGATGACAGACCTGACCTGGGTTCCATGTGCAAGACAATCACAGGGGAGACTCCCCAAATTCTGCTGGGAGCACAATCCTGGGCCTGGGCTGTGTCTTCTCTTTGATGAGGCCCTTAGTTTTCTCAGGTGGGTTTACAGGTAAATTCCAGAGGAGTGAGCAAATCCCTGCAGGTACAGGGTCAGTTGCTTCTTTCTCAGATAGGTGAAAAAGTACATTCAGGGTGAGAAACGGAAGCCTCCCCCGACCATCGTTTCTAAGCTTCACGGCTAGAAGATGAGGAGTCCTCCCCAAGGCACCACCCTGGAAAGCCAGGTTTGGAACCCCACAGTATGACCCACTGTCCTGTAGAGTAACTGTGCCCTGACACTGCCATGCCTGACAGCCAGGTCCTCAGCAGTCTCCTTCCTTCCTGCCCTGTTCCTCTCCAAAGTGGAATTTCTCTCAGGTGAGATTTTCAAAACTGAAGCCACCAGAAATGCAGCCAACACAGAAGAATGCGTCACAAGTAGAACTCACATGTGTCCACAGACCCTACTGAGCTTGGGATAACCCTAGGCAGGGAGGTAAAGCAGGTATGTTACTCCTCAAGGAGGCTCAGGAGACCGCATGTGTCCCCAGCGCATGCACAACTGTGTGACAGCAGGACAGCCTCAGGGCCAGCTCTTATCCTGCACCTGTGGCTTCTCCTGTCCCCAAGTCCAGCCCATGAGTATCCAGGATGAGAAGAGGAAACTGGGAGAACACACATGGCCCTGACTTCCCTGGCCTAGTGCTGCCTGTGACCTGGGGCTTCACGGAAAGGTCCTGCCACGATGGGACGCCACTACCAGCACGGTAAGCAGATGTCAGAGCTCTGGTCCTTCCCTGCCCCTTCCCTGAGCTGTGGGTACCAGCAGGGAGGGTGACAGCCAGGAGCCACCTCTGAGATGGCCCCTCTAGCACCAGTGCACACACCCCACCCTGCAGTGCTCTGGATGAGTGTGCAGTCTTGTGATCCGGCTGCACCCATCCCCGCCCATTCTCCGCCATATCTGACATCTGACAACTGCTGGCGATTCCACGACTAAAAGAGAGCGCTGGGCAGGGTGGTGCACAGCTGTATTCCCTGAACGTGGAGGATCACAAGTCTGAGGCCACTTCGGGCAATGGAGCTCGACGGTAGAGCACTTGCCTAACGTGAGTGAGGCCCCCGGTTCCGTCCCTAGTTCCACCACCACCACCACAAAAAAGGAGGACCATTAGTAATGTCATCGACATTTGATTCATATCCTCACATACTTTTTTCTAGAAATACATTCACGTTTTATGAAAAGGGTACATACACCGTTTTCTAATCTGCTTTCCCAATGTAATGGTGCATCATGTATACCCTGCCACATCAGTGCGTACCATCTACATCAGCATTCCAGTCATGCCACGCTTACTACACCGAACCACTGCTCTATTTCTTATGGATCCCTCGCCCCCTCAACAAGGAGCTGCCTGGCTCTCCGTTTTTCATCAGACCAGCGGGTGATTTGGGGTGATCCTCTGTGCACATTCCTGTGAGCCTCCTTTACCCCTTCCCTTTGGTTATCTTCACTGCCACAGCAAGTCAGGGCTGACAGCCTCTCCCTCCCATTCTGCCTGACAGACCAGGGACAGACCCAGCCCCCCAAGTCACGTCCCAATGCCCACCAGTAAAAGGCCCGCTATAACAGGACCGAGTTTCTCTCCAGTCTCACTATGTCCTTTTCAAGTCCCGGGCTCCCTGACTCTAACAACAAAAGCTGCTGCCCCTCTTCCATCTGCCTCGGCTAAGCCTAGCTTAGGTCCCTGCTCCCGCTGCATGCACACAGATCCGCCCAAGCCCACAATAGACATCTTGCTCTCCACTTTCCTCTTTGACTCCAAGGGTCCCCAGAGCTTCCTTACCTCTTTCTTGTTCTGTTTTAGATTAATCCCACGGTGCTCCTCCTCTCAAGTGCCCTGTTCACTCCTTGAAGGCAGGCAGGACGTTGTAACCTTCTCTGGGACTCCACAGATATCTGACACCTTGCTCAACTCTAGTGGAGAAGGTACACTAAAGGGAGAAACGTCACCCTCTGGTCACTTGTGCTGTGTCCTGCTCACCAGCCCACTGCCTCCTTTATTAGATTCATACCCAGAGTACAGTCAGAATCTGATTAGCTCTGAATTAGGAAGGGCAGAAGGAACAGCACCCTGCGGCAGTCTAATCAACCACAACTTCTTTACACCACGTAGACTACAAAGGGCAGGTGGCGGGGCAAGGACTGCTCTCCGCAGCCTATTTTTCCTGTCCCAGCCGATCTCCTCATGACACAGGCAGTAACTCAAGTGAGGTTCTTTCCACAGGTGTGTGTCTTTACCATCCTTCGTTACGAATTCAGCCCTGGATTCCCTGGGAAGTCAGCACCCACCACATTAGGGTGAGGCAGAGCTTACGTATATGCATCAGGAAGGTGGGGACCAGCAGCGGAGAGCCTCCTGCTCTCTGCCAGGCACTGCTCTCCCCTAATCCTTGACCCATAGCTGTGAGCACAGGAGTACTACCCACTGTGACAGAAGGCAGGAAAGCAGGCTCAAAGACAACAAAGGACTCACCCAAGGGTTACTGTCAGCAGAGAGCCACACCTACAGTCTACCAGCACTGCCCGATGCTAGGCCTATAGAGAAGACAGTTTGTGCACACCCTATGGCAGGCGGGCCACACAGTCTGTCTGTATCACTGAAAGGTCTAAAAGGTTCAGTGTCACCGCCCAAGGAGACTTGAGGACAAGTAGCCACACAGACACAGATATTAAAGGAAAGTGGTAAGAACTCAGCCTGGCCTGAATGCCTCTTCCCACTGCACAGGGAAGACAAGAGCCCCTCCTTTAATAAATGACCTGCTTGTGAGTCACCTGCCCAGTGCCCACGTCTCCTGCTGGCACTGTCGTTCTCTCCAAATACTGAGGCCAATCAAGGATTGATTCTAGAAAAATCCTTCGAAAAACTCACTCTGATGCAGGGCTCCAAGACAGCTTTTCTTGTCCCTTCCCAGCCAGCTTCCTGTTCCCTGCTCACCCTCCGTACCACCATGGCAGCAGGCATTGATGCTGGCCTGCAGCTCCAAAGGAAAAAGGCAGCAGGCCTGAGTGGGTAGGTAAGAGGTGTCTCAGGAGGAAGCACGAAGCGCTGCTCCCAGGGCAGCTCTCCAGGGCCCCACAGCCCTGGGTGGTAACCAGAGGAACCAGAAACAGGAGGAAGCCAGGGACAGAGAATGACCTTTGGAACTGGGGGGCAAGGATCTGATCTGAAGATGTTTGTGGCAAGATCTGAGCATGAAAGATGACATGAAAAGTGGCAAGGCCGCCTGGGCAGTCCTGTGGTTTCCCTATAGGTGACCTCACGGTCACTAAATTCTAAGTGTGGAAAATACAAATTTACCAAAAAGACAAGGTAGTGAGAGGTTCTGTGCTTCAGAGAGATGAAGGGAAAGACCCCGTTAGTAACAAGACTCCCCCAAGTACAGTTCAGGTCCACATAACTGGTAGCCCATCTGTGCCCAAGGAGATCTGAGACGTAGGAACAGACACCCCCAAGACTCTGGCAGAACCCAGGCTGCCACAGGCCCCTCTTGACACAGGTGGGGATTTGCTCTCCAGTTATGGAGCCTTGTTTCCCAATCTTGACAGAGAGAACACTCTCACCCTTCCTCTGTCACACCGCAGACTGATCTTGACCTCTGTGTTCCAGGGCAGTACTGTGGGCTGCAGCTTCAAGGGCTAGAAGCAGCCACTCTCCACCATAAAGGCTCTCTCTGGCAGCAGACCAGAGTCTCGCACCCACAGGGAGCACATGTGGCCCCTTGCACAGCCACTCTTCCTCCTCAGGGAGAGCACAGGATGGGGTGACAGATCTCTGGCAGCTTCTGGACGACTGGGTTGTGACACATATGCACCTGCCCCCACTGAACACCACCTGCAGTCAGACGCCACTTAATGCAGTTAAACAGGGACACAGCAACCTGCAGGGCTTAACCTGCACTAAGCGTCATGCTCCTTCCTCATGCCCACTGCATTTTATTAAAAGTCCACAGAGCCTAATCTCATTACTGGGGACCAGACACGGTACAGGATGTACTGCCGGGGGGCGGGCAGAGGGCGAGAAGGGAAGGCGGGCAGCAGGAAGCCTGGCTCGGCCATATCCCTTATTAGCAGCAGGGATTTGAGCTAGAACAGACTAGCTGTGGAGGAGAGAATTGCATTTTTCCCTTGAGGGGTGAAAATGGTTCAGTTGTCCAAGAATGTGATTAAAGAGAAGGCAAAATGAGGGTTTAGTTGTTGGATGGGGCACTTTCTTACCATCCCACACCCAAGGTGCTCCAGGAAGAAAGCAGAGCTGGGAGTCAGCAACTAGTACAGCAGGCTTAGTGCCAGGGTTCCCACTACTTACAAACTGGAAAGTTTTCATTTTAATTAAAGCGAGATGAAAAAAATGTTTGAGTTTTTAATCCCATCTGAATGTTTGTCTTTATACTAACACAGATGTAAGTTTTTTAAAAATTAATAGTTTTAGGGAGGCAGGGCCCAATAAAGCCAAAGTATTGAGGCCCATGAAAGTCACGATGTAGCCTGAGAAGGTGAAACACTCCTGCAATCTCAGCACTCTGGGAAGCTGAGGTGGACGGATCAAAAGTTGGAGTCCCACCGGGGCAACTTAGCAAGATCTTCCTCAAGAAAAAAAAAATGTAAAAGGGCTGGGGATGCACCTCAGTGCAGAGGTCCTGAGTTTGATCCCCACTAACTGAAGGGAAAAAATAAGAGCATCACAACGCAGCTTGGGCCAGAAAGAAAGGCAATTTCAAAGCCAGTTCCACTGTTTATGACTGTGTGTTCCCAGGCAAGCAAGTCTGTGAGCCTACTTCATCTACAAGGTGAGGGATACTAAGGCCTACCTCACTGGACTGTAGAAAGATTAAGTGGGAAAAATACATGCACACGCCTAGCACAGTCCGGCCACATGGTAGGCGACCAAAGAACAGTTAAAAACACTAAATCTGACCCTGATGGCATCTTCAGAGTCACATGTCAGCAGCCTATGACACATGAGGTTGAAGGCCATGGGAAGCCTGGTGACAGCACGTAATATACCCATCTACTAAATTCACACCACCATTCTGCCTACCATCAGCTTCCCACACTTCTGGAGCAGAAACTCCAAAAACAGGAAAGAAGGCTGCTTTTAATATGTGATATTGTGCATTCTCAAAACTCATTTATGAGTTGATTAGAAAGCATCTTCTCGGTGAAGCTGGCTTCTGCAAGTGATTCTTTTCTCACCGACGCTGGCATTAGAAAACAGAACCAGCCCTTGTTAACAAAGGCCACATCGGGCCTGTCTGGGAAAGGCGGCAGGGCAGGGAAGCTGTGGCTGGCTCCACCTCCGGTTGGAGGATCCTCCTGCTGGGGTTGGGGCAGTCCAGTGTTTTCCTGCCTGGATCCCGTATGGGGAAGATCAAAGCATCTGGAGGAGGGGGCAAAGCCTGTTTTGTTCTGTTTTTGTTTCCATTTGTTATGAAAAGAAAGGAAGGGAATCCCGGCAACCTAAAATGGACTTCATTTAATGAGTCTTAGGAAACTCTCATACTGCCAAGGTGGAAAGAAAAGAGGAGAGGGGCGCCGGGGTGGGGGCCCGCGAGGAGCGCGGGGGTCCAGGCTGTCTTTGCCTTAGTACAGCAGGCAGGGCTTCCTGTTGGCTGCTGGCAGTTCCCAAGCTTGCAACACGGACCCTCCTCCGCGCTATGACTGTGATACAGTGCAGGAAAGCAGGCAGGCTGAGAAGGGAGGTGGCTCCGCCGTCACCCAGGTGTCTGTGGTGGCACCACAGCCCAGTTCCGCAAACGCTGTACCCAGCCTCAGGGGAACCCTGGCCCGTGCAAGGGCCCAGGCTTTCCCAGCCTGGAAACTCCTACTCTCACACGACGAAGCTGGGGTGTTCGAGGAGGAAAAGCAAGGGAATTTCCGGCTACATTCAGAGCAGGACCCAGCTACTGGGAAAGACCCTCCCAGAACACTCATGGCAGACGCAGGCTGATCCACTTCCATCCCACCTTGCTATAACATGGCTGTAAGTCGTAGGTTTAAGCGGTGGCCGTTCTCACTTCATCAGAGACAGCCCGGGGCCTGCCCAGGGGCAGATCTGCCCGGAAGCCGGGATCCCGCAGGGCAAGCTCTTTAAGCCCTAGTCTCGCCCGGCAGCCCCGGGAATGGGAAAGGAGACCGGCACCTGAGCAGGTGCGGCGGCAGGGGAGAGAAGAGGAGCCCTCTGCGGCTCCAAAACCCCAGTGGGTTCCGCAGCCCCCGCCCGGCCCCCGGCAGGGCTG